TTTTTTGCTTTTTCTGCCAACTGCTGCTTCTGTTCCGCATAGTCAGCACTCCTCCAAATTCCTCCTCCTTTCCCTCTCTAGTGTGCACTCCTCCTCTCCTCTCCCCTCCCCTCCCCACGGACACTGCTGCTGGTACCTCACAGTCAATGCATCCCATAATCTCGTGCTCCCCCCCTCCCCTCCCTCCTCTTGCTGCAGTGTTTCTGCTAATATATATTAGCGTCAGCATGGTGCATGAGCTCTGCTCTGCGCTCCTTTTTTTCCTCCCCTCCCTGAGCTCCGGATCCATAACTCCACTGCAGACATGATCCCCCTGATTTCATATATTTATTTTATAAATTTATAAACCATCAGAGCTTCTTTTAGTTTTTTCCCTTTTCAGCCAGGTGAGCCATGTTCCCCCCTTCCCTTTTTATCTCCCTCATTCCTCTCACTCCTGCTTCTTGCCTCCCTCCCTCCCACCCTTGTGTATCTGTGCAGTGGTGAGGCAGGGTGGCGCAGGACATGGTGGCCGAGGCAGGAAATGCTGCAGGAGGAAGAAAGTGGTGCTTGAGGGAGGGAGGGAGGGGTTGTACCTCYTCTCTGCCACTCTGCACCGTCCTCACCTTCATTTTCCTTTTTGTGGTTATGTCCTCTCTGTCTGTTCTCACTTTGTCATTTCCACCTTCCTTCCATTTTTTTTTTTACAAATCTCACCTTCTTTAACCTCAATGCCCCCGCCCCCCATTTTTTAACCCTTAGGTACATCATTGTGCTGCAGTGAATGGTTTTGCAGCCATAGTTTTTCTACTTTTAGCTGCATGGCAATTTAAAACACCAGCCKAATCAAAACTGTCATTTTTAAGACATTTCAAATTAAAACCATAACAATCCCAACTTTTYCCTCTAGCAGTCAACTCCAAGATCAGTTCTGAGTAAAATTATATAATCAATAATCCTGCCATGACCACAGAGGAACAAATAGACACTTAACTGCAGTTACAGACTTGTGGCTGTCTGTGCATAAAATATTCAGCAGTTCATCCATAAAGCTGCAGCTGCAGCAGCGAAGGAATGCAAGTTAGAGTGCAGGACTACAGAGTTACACCAAAAGTAAAAGTTGAAAAAAAAGAGAGAGAAAAGTTATTTAAAGCATCAGTGAGTTCACAGAAGCTGCTTCTGAAAAGTTTCGCTTCTTTAAACAGCGAGAGAGAGAGAGAGTGGGGAGCTGTCCCTGGTGCTGAAATCTGTCCCCAGGAGCTCCCACTGCAGGACAGCTGCTCTCCCTCATTCAACCCATTTCTACTATTTACATCTTTCAAATACTTTAGTTTAAGTAGCTTACAATAAAACTATAGTAGTTTTTCATTAGGATCTAGTAGTTTTTTAAAACTCACAATATGGCTTTTTTTTCTTCTGTCGAACAAGCAGATGTGATGCAGCAAAATGATGGGAGTTTTTTCCTTTTAAACTCTTAAAGCTGTYTTTTTACTTCTCTTGAAGCTGTTTTTCTTCTTTTTCTCCTCCCCCACGACTCTGCACTCAAACGTCTACAAACTAGTAAAGTTTTCAGTCTCCCATGCACAGTTCGTGCTTTAACCCATGCAGTAGCCTTCACTGTTAGTATAGCGCTTACCTGTGTGCTGCCTTATTTTATTTTCCTGGGTCTTAAAGTAAGAGGGAAAAAAGAGTGAATTCCCTCACCAAAAATAAAAGTAAAAAACACGAATGAAAAGAAAAAGAAAAAAAACAAAACTTAAGAGTTGGCAAACTTTTCTCCACACAACAAAACTCTTCAGAAYCAAAACCAAGAGCGGAAATAAAAGACTGCAGTCTGTCACATGACACACAGAGAGGGGGACCAAAAGTATGAGGGGGGAGAGAAAAAAAGAGGTAAGTAAAGGAAGGTTACTTTGGGGAAGTATGAAGGATGAGAACGAGGGAGGTGAAATGGGAGAAGAGAGTGAAGTGGACAAGAAGGGGGAAAGTGAAGATGGAGGAGAGCAATAAGATAAAAGGAGAGGGAAGGAAGAGGCTTGATTCCTCTTCTTCAGTGAAATGTGACTCCTTTATGCGAAATATAAGAGCGAGGAAAGGGAGAGAAGGAAAGGTAGTAGCAGGGAGGGAGGGAGGGAGGGAGAAGGGGGAAGTCAGAGCTCACGGGAAAGGAGGGGGGAGCAGGAGCTGGAGGATGATGAGGAGGAGGAAGATGGTGGTGCATTTCTTTGAATAGAGAAAAAGGTTAACAACATAAATACAGTGCGTAGATGGGCTCTTTTTCTTCTTCCTTCATAAGGAACAAAGAGTGTCTATTCTGAAGCATAGTGAGACCCCCCCCCCACACACACACTTACACTACCAATGGCAAAGCAGCCCACAGGCAAACAGTCTGACCTCAGAACAGACAGAGAAAGAGAGAGAGAGCAAATAACTCTAGCTTTTTACTGCAGCAGAATTCATTCACTTTTATAGTGCACTCTCCTTTTTAATGCCTCTCTCTCTCTCTCTCTCTCTCTCTCTCTCTCTCTCTCTCTCTC